CTCTCTCTCTCTCTCTCTCTCTCTCTCTCTCTCTCTCACACACACACACACACGCACACACACACACATCAATTAATCTTTAGTGGCCTTACAGTTCTGTATCACTAATTAGTAAGTGCTTGCAGTGAAACATGTTTTTATTACACAAATTACCATAAATTGATAAATTATCCCAGGAGACTAGAGAGAAATGCCTGGCAATTAAGGCATATTTCTATGGTGAGGTCTACTCTGTAGATGGCTTTAGATACAGCCAGAAATGTTTTTTGTTCTCAAGTGACCACTATTAGTTTTGATGAACTTTTCTTGCAATGCCAGTGAAGACAGTGGTGGACAGTTTCCTTTTGAGGGCAATAGTCCTTTTCGCTGAGAAGATGGTGATTCTCTCTACTTGCTAAAAGCAGACTGTGAAGAATCTTTTAAGAATTCATACCTCATCAGCAGTAAAATATTCCTCTGTTTACCTCTTTTCTTCTGAGACACCATGGAAACATCAGAGAATACAGAAGAGGAGACCTAGCATGCCAGCCTCACCTATATCTTCATAATGGCCATAATCTGCTAAATGTCAGTTTTAATGAGACGCTTGATAGCTGCACATTAGGGGTGTGCAAAACGGGCCCTATTTGATTTGGATTAGGCCCAAACTGGGGACAGTGATTCGATTCGTTGATTCGGATTACTGTCCCTTATTCGATTTGGCCAAATCCGAATCTGAAGATTCGATGCTGATTCAGAGAATCAGTGATTCAGACATAGACACAGCTTTAAATGTTTTTTCTACATACCTCTGTTGGGGAACTGCAGCCCCAAGGTCACGATGGGCTGAGGGTTTCGGTACAGAACAGGGGGGATTAGTGACGAGGAGTCTGAGCGGTCTGGGAGACACGTGCGGTTTCAAATGGTGGATTTTATTTACTTACGCTTATGGAGCGTAGGCAGAGAAGCTTGCTTGTTCAGTTACAGTCAAATCAACGAACAACAAAGGGTTCTGTTGATCTACAGGGTTTTTGAGCCGAGCCCTTGCTTTCTAGCCCAGAGGCTAGGTGCGGCTGCCCAACTCAATAGTCCCAGGACTGGTCAACAGCTCATAAATGGGGTAACAGACAACGAACTGTAACGCAACCGAAGTCCAATGTGCGGTGGTGATGTCAAAGTCGGTGGTGAGCGATGCCGAGGTCGATGCCGGAACGCGCTAGCAATGCCATGGTCGGTGGTCAATGTCGGTCGGGTTGGTCAAAATCGTGGTCGGTGTCAATGCCAGAAATTGGTTCAGTAACGGAATAATCAGATCGAAGATGAAGACGAATGGGCTATGAAACCGCAGCAGTGAGGAGACCAGTGGGCCTAAGGGCCCTCCTGAGGAGCAGTCTCTGCCAAGACAGCCTCTGCTCTCAGGTCTGGTTGATCTCTATCTGGGACAGTCTCTGCCAAGGCAGTCTCTGCTCTCCGAACAAGTCAGGGTCTCCCCTCTGGGCGGGGTCTCACAAGCCTTTTAAGACAACCAGGTGGCCAATCAGGTTGCTTTCCTCATAGAATTTTCTAGTCTAATTATGTCATACTTTTTGTAAGACTGAGCATGTACAGGGTGTTAGATTAGATTGCCTCATGGCAGAGCCATGATTGACAAGTCAGAGGTCGCCCAGGGGACATGTGCTGGGCATGCTTGTCTGCCCTCTGGGGATTTTCCATGGCCGGTCTACTCATGTCAACACTTTAATTCTGTGTTATCCAGCACACACTTTGAAATTTGGTTCGGACAACCTCGAGGTACCACCACAGCTTGTGAATGGTGGGGTGGATGGAGCGCCCCACAGGAGTACAGGGGGGCCCCCCACGTGCTTGACGGCAGGTCTGGAAGTGGACTGGAATTACTTCTGATCCACTTCTGGGTTCACTGGGGAGCATGCTGGGCCATCCCCCCCAGCTTAGCAATCAGCCACGGGGGGACCCTGGGTACCTCCCTCATACCCAGGAGGCACCAGTCACCAAGCCAGGGGGCATGGGGGGCCCTGCACACTTCCTAGTCTGCTTCTGGGTCTGCTGCTGAGCGCACTGGGGAGACCCCTGCACTCCTGTGGGATACTCCATACTCTCTAGCATAACAGCATTCACGAGCCACCTGGTACCTAGAGGTATATAGAAGAAAACATGTAAAGCTGTGTCTATGTCCGAATCGCCGAATCTTTCTGAATCTCTCCAAATTGATTCAGAGGGTTTTGTTTTATTTCAGAGAGATTAAAGGATCCTCTGATTCGATTCTGATTCAGAGATTCAGCCACCGAATCGGGCCAAATCTCCACCGAATTGAATTAGGGACCGAAGCTTTGCACAGCCCTACTGTGTAGTAGTATTGGCAAGATGGGAGTCCAGGATAGGAGCAATAGGAATATTGGCAAGATGGGAATCCAGGAAGGGTGGTCATTCCTAAAGGAAGTGATCCTTTGGGCACAGAGATGATCGCAGTGCAAGGGAAAGGGGCCAAAATATTTCCTTGGCTAAACAGAGAAATCTAAGGGAACCTAAGGGCAAAAAAAGAGTCATATACATGGTAGAAGCAGGGAGAAGCTACCAAGAAGGAGTATACCTACTTGGCATGCACTCTCAGGGAGGCAGTTAGAAAGGCCAAAGCAACTATGGAGCTGAGGTTGGCAACACAAATTAAAGACAGCAAAAAGTATTTTTTTAGGTATGTAGGAGGTAAAAGGAAGGCTCAGGGCTGCATAGGACCCCTACTGAACAAGCAAGAGCAATTAGTGACAGACAGCGGGGACAAGGCTGAGCTCTTCAATGAGTTCTTTGCCTCAGTGTTCTTGAACCAGGGTCAAGATAAGTCTCCTAACTGGTTCTTAGCTGGACATCAGCAGGACA